AGTGGACAGTAGAGCCCCCCCCCCCCCCCCCCCTCCCCGTGGACAGTAGAATCCCACCTCGGTGGAATGTGGAGTCTTGAAATGCAATGCAGCATTTTCTGATCAAAAAGCCCCCCCCCCTCACAAAATGTGCAGGCAGCGTGTTGTCAGTGTTTCCATTACCCTGAACGCTTCGTTAATGAAAGCGGCTGATTGGTCCGCTCCAAGGCAACGTATTTGACCTATTTATATTATAAACCTGCGAGGAAAGCCTTTACTAACCCAATGGCACCAAGTGACATGAATTCAGCGTCGTGAACACCGCTTCCACCAGCGCTGTGATGACCGCTTCCACCAGCACCTTGACCACCACTTCTACTGCCCACACTGGCACAGGCTTCTGCTGCAAGCCAACAGACGGCGTGCCATTGGAGTGGCCAAGAGACATGCACACGCACACACACCCACACACACCCACGCACGCACGCACGCACACGCACACACACACACACACGCACACGCACACACACACACGCACACACACACACACACGCACACACACACACACACATACACATGCAGATGCAACGTATACATGTACACACACACGGTTTGTTGCAGAAGCTTATTGTCGCCACTGAAACAAACATGGTTCATTTCGTACTCGGACGGACCCCTCACTCCTCCAAAATGAACACAGTTTGCAATGCTAGACACCATAAATCAAGTGCATGTACACGTAGTGCATTGTTGAGCAAGTTACGATTTTCGACCTCCCACCCTCCTCCTCCTCTACCACGGATGATGTTCGCTTCAGGGCGACAACATATGACAGCGACCCCTTAGCAATTCTATGACATGTCGGTTGTCCAGGGCCCAAAACAGAGTCAGAACTGCAGTGCTGGCTGGGATCAAACACCAGCTTGCGGTGAGAAGAGGCTCAAATTTTACATTCTATCCACAGCAGATATGGTCCTGTGCTCATGCCGTGTTCAATACCCGAACGGGAATAGGTAACTCAAAGCGAAAATAGAACAGCGTACCGGTTTCCTTGCGACTAAAGGTTCACACGAATGCGGCGATCATGCAAAACATCATTTGGAAGTACCAGATCTGTTTGTATTGTGCATCCAACTAACCTGAAGGAAGAGAGGCCGATCTCGGGTCAAACAGCTTTCCACATGCATCCTGCAGGTATTGCAAGAGACCAAGTACACGCAAGCACATGCCCACGCCCACACGCACACACACGCCCGCACACACACACGCCCACCCGCACGCACACACCCGCACGCGCACACACCACACACACACACACACATACATGTAAATACACACGAGCAAAAGCACACATGCATGCAAACACGCACACGCACAAGCCATAATCGCTGAAGTCAGAGTAGGCTCAAAATGGTTATCTCCTCATTAACATGACGGGAATATGTGGCAAGTTTTAAGAAAATAGAGACATGGTGCAACTTTGTGTGTGAAGAACTCTCGTCCTAAACAGAGATAAACAGAATTACAACAAGGCCTAGTGGAACTTGTCTCATGGTTCGTGCCCCCCCCCCCCCCAAAAAACATATGAAGTAAAGCTAGCGGCAGGCGCTACTAACGTAACGTTTATTGCATAGCTGCGGGAATTCAATCAGGTCAAGTTTCTAACCTGGTCAAGGCCCAGCCAGAACATGGCCTGCTCACGGATCATCTGTATATCCGGATTTGAACGTGTACACAGTGGGTAGTCTTCAGCCACTAGGGTGGAAGCGTCCAAGGCGTGCGCACAGCTTGGCGCGCGGCACGTAGATAAGCCATGCTGTAAACACTCCTCGCCCGATGTTTCTCCGCAGGGGCATGGCAATGTGCTGATCACTTCGACCTGCAGGCCCCACTTCCGTACCACTGTGAGCACGATTGCCCGGACTTCATCCAGCGTAGACTTTCCGCTACCGCCGTGTCGGCCCTTGCACTCGACGTACACTTGTAAGCCGTAGCGTGTATAGTGCAGGTGCAGCCACGGCCAATCTCTGTTCCAGCGAAGGCGAACGCTGCACCGTGACAGTGTGGCAGCCGAGCGCTTGTGTGACTTAAGCAGCACCTCCACCACGCATTGCCAATACAGGAACACGGGAAAGTGCATCAACTCATCTCGGTTTGTGTGCTTCATGGACACATAGGCACAGGAACAAGGCGTTTGCGGGTCCGTGCCCATCTCCAGGACGACTGCAGGTACAATAAACTCGTGCTCAGCAGACCTCTCATCCTGCACAATTACCAGGACTGAGAGCCATTCTAGGATTTCAAAAATGAGCTTGAACCCATCACTGCTTGCTCTGACTGCTTGCCACGCCTTAGCATGGTCGCAGTAAGACTGACCCTCGAACATCTTGTTGAGAGCTTTGCGTGCCAGGGACTCCGTCATGAACCCAGAACGATAGCACCGCGCTTCGTGCACTGTGATGTCTCGGTCAGGCTTCATGTAGACAAAGGCATTGACACAGTCCAGGATGAACTGGGGCTCCAGGATGACCGTGTCTTTCAGCTTGAAAGTTGGGAAGTACGCCAGGTGGCCTGCTTCGTGGCAGTACTTCAGCAGCAGCTGTATTTGCCGGTCACTGCAGTCATGTGGAACAGCCTTGACTTGCTTCGCTATGAACTTTGCCTCCTTGAAGGAAATCCAAGGCCAAGTGACCTCCTGCTTGAGCGTGTGTATGGATATGCAGAACCGGAGCCATGGAACAGGGATGTTACGTTGGCTCTTCTGGCAGCGGTCGATGATGGCCTCTCTCAATCGCTGCAGCTCATCTGCTTGTCCTGCACTTCCAGTGGATCTGGTGTTGTCGATTTTGAAGTGCGAAGTGTCGTTCCAGACAAGGTTCTGGTACCGCGTACCTTTTATCTTCTCTTGAAGTAGCTTACAAGGATCAGGCAAATCGGTTTTGTTCCACCTGTCACTCTGACACCCCACTACAAACACATCATCTGCAGCACTCTGGTCTGTGCTGCTGTCAGCTTTCGCATTCAGCAGCAGCATGTCGAGCCAGCCGAGCAGCTGGTCTAGGCGAGTCGCATTGGCCGGTAGAGTGGCCCGCTCGATACATTCTTCCCGGCTGACCTGAAATTCATCGAACTTGGGAAGGGTCTCTAGAAGATCCAGAGAAGAGTTGTATGTGGCAATGAAGGCTGTGTTTTTGGCCATGAAGAGGGGCTGTACGGATTGGTAGACTTGCTGCCCTCCAAGGTCGCGGAATGTGATGACGGTATAGTTGGGCGTGTTGGCCCGGTCAGAGATGTATTTTACCCGGTCTGCGTTGAGAAATCCTGTGATGGTCTCGTGGATTTCCTCGCGCATTGCTGGCCCGTTGCTGCTGCTTCTGCTGCTGCTGCTACTGCTGTCCTCCATAGGTCCTGCATGGGTCCCAGCCACAGGATCCTCTCCTGCTGGGGCTCTCTCTCTGTCATCTTGTGTTGTCTCTTTGTCTTGGGGATGATTCGAAGTGGATGGTTTGCACATCATGGTGATGACGTAGAGTCGACTCAGAGCATCTGGCATGTCTGGGCATTCGATGAATCGACAGTCATCAGAGATGTTTGTAGTTGCGTAGGACGTGCGCATGCCGGGTGTGCTGAGTTCATTCTCATTGTGCATCTTCTCAAGCAACGCCTTCAGCAAGCTGGTCTTTCCAACGCGTGCCGCACCAAGTATTACCACGTGCAGGAAATGGATGACGGTCGTACCGCCCAACCGGGCTGCCTCCTGCTCTGCTGCTTCGAGTTCACTGATACTTGGCAGAACAGCAGTATCTCCTGGGCACAACGATAAACACAGCACACATCAAAAATGTTGTGTAACTGCAGGTGACATTTACAGGGGCGGATCCAGAGATCTCTACAGGGGGGGGTTCCGGTTGAACCAAAATTGAACAGCCAAAATATTAGGGCTGAAACGAATGCTCAATGAAGCGAACGAATATTCTTTTTCCGAATACATGCGAAACGAAGAATATTCCGAATATTCTAAACCGTGCAATTTCCATGGATACCTGGTTTTATCCATGGTAACCATAGACCATTAATTGGCATACACCCCAATTACAAGAGAGACATTTGAAAAATCATGTGTCTTGCTGATTATAGCACATCGAAAAAGGCAAGCCTACTTATATTTTGCACCAAATAACCTTGATCGATGTCAAAAAGGCGAGTTTCTGTACAATATTCCTATTCTACTTTAGGCCATGGTAAAAAATAAAGTTGATTCTCAGGTCATGAGCCTGTGAAAATCGGTGCGAGCGAGCGATTTTTTATTTTAATTCCCACAATTTTTTTATTTCCAAAGATAGGGTCACACATGTGTACGTCACAGGTTCATAATTAATTTATAATTATTTTATTATTTAGGCCAGGGAGTAGAAAAATACCGGTATTTTACTACTCCCGGATTCATGCCTTTCGCATTGACCGTTTTCATGCACGCATATGCATGCATAGAAATAAAACAAATCGTCGGTGCGCCGCCAAAAATCGGTGCGCGCGTACTTGAGAATCAAAGATATTTTTTACCATGGCCTTAACGAAGATTATTCTTTTTCCGCTTTGCATATTTCGAATATTCGAATAATTCGAATATTCCTTTCAGCCCTACAAAATATTATGGAATCAGATTGTTTTGAAGTTGTGCGGTTGACAGTAAGTTGTAATTACGACAATCCGATTGTGTTAGTGGCAATCGCATGCTTTTAAACACACACTACGGACATACTTAGTACCGTAAAGTACCGCCAGAGCACCCCGTCTACCACAAACCGCTGGAAACTGAGTCGGAGCGCAGTTGTGGTGCGGTGGACGATGGAAAACCTGTACAGGGCCAAATGCTGCTGCTTACCCTACATTGTATATTTTTTAGTACGGACACATAATCATATACATGTATGCAATCGACTGGCACAGCGGTTCAGTGAGGGCTTGAAGACCCTTTCAACTTCTTGTAAAGATCGAATATGCAAGCCATGGGTACGTTGAGAGCCAGGAATGCCGAAATGACAACTATAAGTTACTTTCCCTGTCCATTTGTACTTTCGGAATTTTCGGCATTTTACGATGCGAAATGCTCTATAGTCACAGGACAAGAGCATCGTCTTCACTTCAGTGACAGAAACAACAACAGCGAAACAGTGTCGACAATAATTATTGTACAATCCTTTCAATGTCATCTAAAACACATCGCTGGCGCAGCACTCCGTTCCTGCGGAGGAACAACTAGTCACTACTGCATGCTGCAGCAGGTAGAGATTACTGACTTTGCTTGGATGTCGGAGCCCTCATCTTCTGAGGAGCTTGAACTCTACGTGTACGGTTCGAAGATCGTTGAAGAGTTTCAGTACTCGGAACATCTTTTCTCTTCTGCAAAAAACTTGTCCAAGGAATACTGACCACACCACACCCATCCCGAGCAGCAGTGAATGACAGCGCCAATGGAGGCAAGTAATTAGTTTGGATCGTTTCGAAAGATCAAAAAGGAAACAGCCACCCAATGTTGTCTACACAACAGTGTCCGTTTGTAAATCACGGACGTGAACACCAGTACAGACTACTATCCGTACAGACTGTCAGTATCGATCTACCGCACGCGCTCCTTGACTCAGTGACTGCACTGACTGTGAATCTGATCGGACGGACGTCCTTTTGTGCACAATGATATTTTTCGATATTTCTCAGCCGCACACTTTGCAAAATTTAGGGGGTTCCATGGAACCCCCGGAACCCCCCCCCCCCCCTGGATCCGCCACTGATTTACAGTTTGTTGTTTATTTTGTATTACTAACAAGAAATCATACAGTACAGGCAACAGGAATGCAAAATAAGTGAGAGTGCATCTTCACTGCATGCACTCGTATTATGAGAAAGCCCGCTTGAGTCCCGATTTTACGGTGTGTCTGAAAGGCATTGCTTCCCGCACAATAACCACTCCGTCACCAGAATATTGGCAGACAGGAGACACCTGTTATGGTGTTGCTACAGTTGAAGCACTGGGTTTTAGAGTCCAGGGGCGTCACACACGGTACCACCAGTACCACCATGCTTGTACCACTTTTCGCACCGGATGCTGCGCCCAATTCATCCAAAAAACAAGCAATATAAGAGCACTAAAATGTGCCCTGTTCACCCAATAATCACTATTTACCAGTGTTGCAAAGAATAGCAAATCACGAACGAATATTCTAACAAATATGCACAGTACGAACGAATATTCTACTATTCTACCCATACAGACGAGCCCATTTCAGCACACTATGCTTCCTTGTTTATTTGAGCCAGCGCGTGCTAAGACATGACCACAGCTTTTGTGGAAAAGTCGAGAAAACGCGATTTGAATTCCGCGACAAAAATATACAAAGTTCTCCTCGGTAGACTGGACTGTTCTGGATGTAACTCTTTGTTGCAAGTACATGAAAATTTATTCGTTTCAGTTTGGATTCCATGTTGCACTGAGTCTCCTAAAATGGATCGTCAACGATGTATCGAAGGAAGACCCTAATATACTTCGGAGCGGAAGAAGACGACATCCTCGGGTTCCATGCGCAGGATTAACTATTTTGTGGACTTGCGAAGGAAACAGAAGTCTCAAGTCTCTCAAACTCTCCCACACGGAGCTAGCTTTACGATCCGACATCACGGATTTCTACCGACTCGAAACTAAGCAAAGCGGACTGATACGATTCGAAACTAACCAGGAACTGCTACAAACTACGAAGAAGAACATAAGTATTTCTTGCGAAGGTGCAAGCTACAAACGGCGCGTAAGTCAAACTGGGCAGCATTAGCGGTAAGCGACAATATGTTGACGATGTCGTTTGCTGCTCAATTGCAGTGACTGTTGCACATTCTACGATGCAAGAACGCAGCGAGCGTGCTGCGATGAGCGAATTTAGCCTTTGTACGGAAAGCTGTACACAAAGTGTAGCATTTCGAACATTCGACTTCTGACTCGCACGTTCGAATATTCTGTGCAGCGCAAAAAAAACAAGATATTCAATTATTCGAATATTCGCTGCAACACTGCTATTTACCCTCGGGCTTTTTTGATGCCATTCAACGAAACGTGTAGTGGATAGTCACTACTGGAGGGTTCATAAAGGCACATTTGTCTGTTGTGAAGTCGGGGGTTTGCCCCGTACATTGAATTTTGCATGGCAAGACAAATTCGGAAAATGCAAAAATTGGTTACGGGGTAACTGTTTCCCATGCCCCCCCCCCCCTCCTACTATTTTGACCTGGCTAGAACCCTGCCATCATATCTTCATGCTAATGGTACTACTTGGGGACATACAGCTCTATTGCTTCCAACTGGACATTTGCTTCGTTAGTTGCTGCTCATCATGAGCAATTTGCTGCTAGCGGCCTAGCATTGCTTGCCAGCTCTTCGAGCTCTTGCATTACGAGACCATTTACTCGAAGTAACACATTGTCTCCAAAGCCAGTCCGTGTTGCCCTGACTGAGTGTGAATATGTGAGGGATTGGATGCTAAATAGTATTCCAACCAGTGATGCACACTAACCCAGTTTTCAAGAACGAATACTCTATCAAATACCAAATCTGGCAACGAACGAATATTCTAGTATTCGTTGAAATTGTTGACGGCCCAGAAACTTCTGCATTGCGTCTGCGCTTTTCGCCTGGGACACCTTCGCATCCGTGGCAGCTACAGCCGTCGAGCAAGTAACATGCCGTCGGGGAAGATTATCCCGCATTGAGCTCGTAGCCGAGCCATTGAACTCGAGCTTCGTCTCGCAGAGTTTGCATTCAATGTTTGCGCCTCCATCAACTTTCTCGGAGTGCTCCTAAACGGAGCTGCTACGACCAGCTGTGCCAGAAGCCATCACAAAAAACGAACTGGATGTCCAGGCGGTTCTTCAACGTGAAAGAGAGGGGTGAGTTGGACCGAACTAAAGTAGTAAAGAAGAAGGCATTATGGGTTCCCACTTCGCAACAGTACAGTGCACGCACTGTACTCGTACAACTACACGTGTCCTTTGCAACTGTACTACAGTGCCGGCACTGTATTGTTACTACTACTAACTGTTTGGTGCGCGCTCACACAGGCTGGATTCGTCAAGTACACGTACGGTAACCGCTGTACTGTAATCTGTAGCAGCGGCCCTAGCTCTACTGCCGTTAGCGCAGGGTCCACATGTACTCGTACAAAACTAGCATGCATGCCACACATAGAACATGATTGTACAGCTCTTCAAACGAACTTTATTACTATTCGACTATTCGTGTGCATCACTGGTCATTCGTAACATTTTGGCGGAAACGAAGTTTGAGAATTTCTGTCACTTACCTGCCTGCAGCTGCTTGGCGTCCTTCATAGAGAGTCAGAAAAAACAGAGGCACAAATCACACATATTTGTTTAACATGCTCTCTCTCTCTCTCTCTCTCTCTCTCTCTCTCTCTCTCTCTCTCTCTCTCTCTCTCTCTCTCTCTCTCTCTCTCTCTCTCTCTCTCTCTCTCTCTCTCTCTCTCTCTCTGTCTCTCTCTCTGTCTCTCTCTCTCTCTCTCTTCCTTAGTTCCGTATCGTATTTTCCGGAACATAAGCCACGATTTAAGCACTCGTAATCCCCCCCCAAAATAAATGTCGGTGTGGCTTCTACTACCAAGGTGAAATGAACTGTGATATACAGGATAGATGTTGGTTATTCGTGACAAAAATGACAGGACAAAGATGACAGAACAAAGATGAACCTAGAGCAGTAGAGGCAACGAGATGAACAAGGAACTCACGGCACAAAGTAAGCGCGAATTTTCTGGTTTCAGACCTTGTATTTTTTTGGAAAATACCAGGGCATTTCAATTTAGCACGGGGCACGCGGGATGGGCATAAAAAAGTGCATGGACCTCAGCTTTTCAGAGCAGTAAGAATTGTGAAAATCGGTTGAGTTTGAGCAAGAAGCTGAAAAAAATGCTAGATTGAGTTGTTGTGGCGTTTCCAAGGCATGATAGGAGAGTTTGGAAAGGACATGGAAGTGGCCCTGATGTGCCTATGGAGCTGAGAGTTGTCAGGATGGATTTGTTTGAAATTGTAACATGCATTATACAGTATGACAGGATATACAGGCAGGAGCTGTATAGGCTGAATTTTAATGGGGCAGAAAAGGATTTTGGCCTGCGGATGCTGAAATTTAAAACGTGCTGATAATTTGTAGACTTACAGTATCCAGTGTCCAGTATCACAGTAGTAGATATCAAACTCAACTCACTTACTAAAGCCACAAGTCGCCAAGATACTCAAGACAAGATGCAAACTGGAATAATTCACTGCAGCTGGTTGTCGTCGCAGTGATTTCCAAGTGTCCATTGTACACAGCACGTTCAACATAGTGCTTGCATTTAGCTCCAACTCTGGCAACAGAGCGACAGGCGAAGCCCTATCCATTTATCAGCTGGGCCGTGCGGATGCGACTTTGCGTTTGACATGGGAGTGGCTACACATTTCCCCTGTTACTAGTGCAGCAGTTATGCCGCGCCCATCATCGTCATCCCACCCCAGTTGTCGTTCAGGACCGTACATGTTCGTCGAATCAGTGTTGAAAGAGCAGCGGTTGTTACTGCTGGGCAGATGAAATGGCCCATCCACTACGCGGGCCATACCGCGTCGGAACCATTGTTATGTCATGGTTCGCGAGTTGCGCAAACGCTTGGCAATTTGGCCAGAGCAGTTCGTTAGAAATCGTGGCCAGAGCAGTTCGTTAGAAATCGTGACCAACGTTATCAGAATTCCCGGTGGCAGTTCCGAATTCACCCCCGCGTCTCCAGAGCAGACTTGATAGCGTAGCTGGTCATCCGGAAGACCATTTATCAGTCGGGTTGGTACTTGTTCATCGGATCACTGCTGGCAGAGCAGCTGTTGCTACCGCTGAGGGGACGAGACGCCCCAGCTGCTGCGCGGGCGTGCCGTGGGGAACATTCGACAATCCACGTAACGAACGGAGAGCAGTTTTCAATGCCTCCGAATTCTGACTGCCCACTACAAGGTGCATTGGTGCACCCAGCCCCGCAGGTTCTGACACCACTGTCGCCTGTGAGTGACATCGAATAGCGGCAGCAAATTGCTTTCTGTTGATATGGTTGGTCATTACTCACTACCTACCCTTGCCCCGCCGGGGGCAAGTCATGGTTGCCGTGTGCACGCACGCATTCATGCCGACGTATCTGTGCCTGCCATGCTATACTTTCTGTCCGGCATATGTTGAACAAAAAATGCCTGCGTGCCCCTTTTGAGGCCCGATCAGTGCATTATGGCTTGTGCTTCCATTTACACCACAGTCACCACCGGCCTATGAACTCGCTGGTTGACGCTTTGTTCTGGAGTCTAGTTTTGTTTGCATTGAGCACCTCATTAACAATTCATTCGCGCGGCGGCCTCCCGCATCAACTCTATGGCTCACTGGCCGAGAGTGAGATGGCACCTTGGTGTGGTGATAAGACGTTGTATATCTTGACGCTGTGCACATAACATTGCCTCGCCAGGACTACCAGTATGCTGGCTGATAGCGTGGGCAACCCACCCTCTCCTGGATTGACCATCAGTCTACTATCGTCGCCTCGTTCGGTGTTACCTGGGCCCTTCTCTTTTGGGGAAACTTGGCCAACAAACGTAATGTGCTCAAAGGCTCGCTGACAATGATGTGCAAGTTTACGCCAACAACCATTACGCGTCCCACCAAGATAAATCGGGCAGGAGGAAAGTGCTCTATGGCTTGGATCCCCAGTTTGCACGTGCATACGCACCAGATGTGATCTGGAGGCGCATTATGCATGGCTCAGCGCCGGGCAGGCTAGTAGCCAATAGAATGAGCTAGCCTGGAACTGATGGCCACCGTTTGCGCTTTCCCAGGCCAGTATCAGTGTTAGTGATTGGTATGTGGGCCAACGCCAGCATCTTAGAGCAGTGTGAGTGCGTAGTCCGCAGGTATGGCAGTGGTGAGGATATGCACGTGTGCTGTGTGCTGTGCATATGTGGATGTGCACGTGGCAGGCGCGTATGCTATCGTGTGAAGTGATGGATGAGGTGCAGAAGTGCAGGTGGTGAGAGTTTGTGGCTACTGCTAGAGTGGCTAAGGCGAAAGCAGCCATCAGGGCGGGGCAATATGGCCTGTTCGCTGGTACGGCATGTGCTTTTCTAGGTCGACAAGCTGTATGCAGTGTTGGCGACGATCGGGCCAGTAAGTGGGCTCATGCGAGCAGCTTGTGGTGGTCTACGGGCGTATATTTTCTGTCACATGAATGCGAGGCGGTCGAGAGAACGCTGGTGCTTGCTTATGAGCGTGTGTGCGTGATGGTGGTGTGTGCGTGGTGGTGGTGTGTGCGTGTGTGTGTGTGTGTGTGTGTGTGCGACGTGCATGTCGGTGTGTGTGTGTGGGCGTTCTTGGCGAGCTTGTATGAGGTTATACGCATGTGTAGGAAGAGAATATACGGATGTCTAAGAGGCGAGAGAGTTCTCGTGAATACTGTGAAAGCCACAGTTTATACTGCTTTGCAAGACGGTACCGTGTACCCTGGTCAGAGCAACTGATGAGGTAGCGGCGGCATCATATGATTATGCATAGGTATAATGCTGAGGGTACGAATACACCTTCCGTAGTGGGGGTGCCATGGCTTCTACGTTTATCATCTTTTTAGGTGCAAGCGGGCATCATATCGTATGCGTGTGGTGTGACGCCTAATGCCAGGCAGTTGTGTGAGTTCTTGGCCTCGATGGTCGTTCGTTTGCCCTCGCTGGGCAGTATAATTTCGGCCCGAGCGGGGAGTTTGCTTTTCCCTTGGCAGGCAGGTTGTCGGCCTCGGTGGCTGTTTGTTTGCTCAATAGGCAGTATGATCCAGCCCTAGGTGGCTGTTTGTTTGCTCAATAGGCAGTATGATCCAGCCCTAGGTGGCTGTTTGTTTGCTCAATAGGCAGTATGATTCAGCCCTCGGCGGGCAGTATATAATAGGCCCATGGTGGGCAGCATGCTTTGGCCCTCGGTGGGTACTACGCTTTGGCCCTCGGTGGGTACTACGCTTTGGCCCTCGGTGGGTACTACGCTTTGGCCCTCGGTGGGTACTACCCTTTGGCCCTCGGTGGGTACTACGCTTTGGCCCTCGGTGGGTACCACGCTTTGGCCCTCGGTGGGTACTACGCTTTGGCCCTCGGTGGGTACTACGCTTAAGCCCTCGGTGGGCAGGCTATTGGCCTCGACTTCCGTTGTGCGCCCTCGGTTGGGTGGAATGCTTTAGCCTTCGGTAGATAGGTTGCTGGCCTTGGCGGCCGTTCGCGCGACCTCAATTGGGCTATACGCTCATTCTTGCGCCCTCGGTCGGGCTATAATCATGTGCCCTCGATCTGGCTATAATCGTGCGCCCTCGGTCGGGCTATAATCATGCGCCCTCGGTTGGCCTATAATCATGCCACTCGGTCGGGATAACCATGCGCCCTCGGCCGGGCTATAATCATGCGCCCTCGGTCGGGCTATAACCATACGCCCTCGGTCGGGCTATAATCGTGCGCCCTCGGTCGGGCTATAATCGTGCGCCCTCGGTCGGGCTATAATCGTGCGCCCTCGGTCGGGCTATAATCGTGCGCCCTCGGTCGGGCTATAATCGTGCGCCCTCGGTCGGGCTATAATCGTGCGCCCTCGGTCGGGCTATAATCGTGCGCCCTCGGTCGGGCTATAATCGTGCGCCCTCGGTGGGGCTATAATCGTGCGCCCTCGGTCGGGCTATAATCGTGCGCCTTCGGTCAAGCTATAATCGTGCGCCCTCGGTCGGGCTATAATCGTGCGCCCTCGGTCGGGCTATAATCCTGCGCCCTCGGTCGGGCTATAATCGTGCGCCCTCGGTCGGGCTATAATCGTGCGCCCTCGGTCGGGCTATAATCGTGCGACCTCGGTCGGGCTATAATCGTGCGCCCTCGGTCGGGCTATAATCGTGCGCCCTCGGTCGTTCTATAATCGTGCGCCCTCGGTCGGGCTATAATCGTGCGCCCTCGGTCGGGCTATAATCGTGCGCCCTCGGTCGGGCTATAATCGTGCGCCCTCGGTCGGGCTATAATCGTGCGCCCTCGGTCGGGCTATAATCGTGCGCCCTCGGTCGGGCTATAATCGTGCGCCCTCGGTCGGGCTATAATCGTGCGCCCTCGGTCGGGCTATAATCGTGCGCCCTCGGTCGGGCTATAATCGTGCGCCCTCGGTCGGGCTATAATCGTGCGCCCTCGGTCGGGCTATAATCGTGCGCCCTCGGTCGGGCTATAATCGTGCGCCCTCGGTCGGGCTATAATCGTACGCCCTCGGTCGGGCTATAATCGTGCGCCGTCGGTCGGGCTATAATCATGCGCCCTGGGTCGGGCTATAATCATGCGCCCTCCGTCGGGCTATAATCATGCAGCGGGC